GAAGTAAGGCATGTAGCATCATCAGCATGGCAAAGGGCACTCCTTTAAAGGCAAGGAAGGGCAAAAGTATTTTAAGTCAAGTGATAGCTGTATTAATCTTACGATTTTTTAATCAAGCACGGGTAACGCCAGACTATACTGCTAGTTTTTATTAAAATTTAAACTCTGTAACGGTCAGTCTATATATATTCATATATATATATATATATATATATATATATATATATATATATATATATATAACGTGGGCGTTGTGGTTAGAACGTCCGCTTTCTGACCATGAGGCCCGAGTTTGAATCTCACCACAGTACAGTTGGTTGGTCAGGTCTGGAGGGGGACGATCCCAGCGTGCGGCACCTTTGCAAAGTGCCTGAAAACCATACCATAAGAAAAAAGTCTTCCGTCCACCCAGTTTCAGTCTCAAGCCTTGAGAATGAAACTGTGTAGACGGAACACTTAGAGGCCGTCGATAGCAGTGCTAGCACGAAGTCACAAGTCATCGTGACCGAGGGTTTGAGTGTGCTTGCCTTGTTTGAATTTTTAGTCAATCTAGATAACACGCTCTCTCCCAGAAACTGTCACTAAAGTCTACCTCAGCATAGTTGCAATAGAAACCGCAGGTGGGCTCTGTGGGTTGTTGAACAAACCTAGATGTGCCTGAGCGAGCGCTGCAATAGGGATTGCCTAATAGACGGGTATCATTGAATACGAGTGGCCAGCTTATATATATATATATATATATATATATATATATATATATATATATATGCGTGTGTGTGTATGTGTGTGTGTGTAAGGTAGATATATTCAACAGCCAAGTTAAGGAATTTATTTACATATATATGTGTAGAGAGAAGCGTGAATAGATCGTAACTTCTTTTGCCATTTTGCTTTAATTCTGCATAAAGCAGTAGTAGAAGCGAGATAGATCAATAAATAAAAATATATAATTAGTAAAGTGACAAAAATTAAAAAAAAATATATATATATCAAATAACGAAAATCTGTGTGCTGCTTACAGAAATAGAATTCTGATATTGCTGGAGAACCTTTTCAAGAATTGACCAACTGAAATTAGAGAAGGCATAGAAATTCCTGGCGAACAATGTCCAAAGGCGACTTGCTACTATTTTCGACAAAGCCCGCATTAAATAAAAAAAAAAATCCTGATAGCCCGTCAACACGTTTTCAATTTGATTATTTTGTCTACCTGGGGGTGTGACTAATCATTGGATAGTGTTTTTCATTTCAGGCTTGACTAAGTAAGTCAGAGTGAAAGAGAAAGAGAAAGAGAAAGAGTCAAGTGAGAGAGAGAGAGAGAGAGAAAGAGGTGGGAAAAAGAATACAAATAGAGAAGATAGATAGAGTTAAAAAAAAGAGAGTATGAACAAGACGATGATAGAGAGAAAAATAGATAGAGAGATAGAGAGAGAGAGAGAGAGAGAGAGAGAAAGAGGGAGAGAATTTTTTTTTTACTTTAAATAGAGAAAAACGATAGATAGATAGATAGATAGATAGATAGATATAAAGATAGAAATAAAGAAAAAGAAAGAAAGAAAGAAAGAAAGAAACGGACACGAAAAGAGACTATAAAAATAAGTTATATAGAGTGAGACAGAGAGGCGAACAAAAAGACGAAAGAGAGAGAGAGAGAGAGAGAGAGAGAGAGAGAGAGAGATTGAGAGATAGATAGAGAAACAAGACAGAGACAGAGAGGCAGAGAGATAGATAGATAGAGAAACAAGAGAGAGAGAGAGAGAGAGAGAGAAAGAGAGAGAGAGAAAGAGAAAGAAAGAAAGATGAGGCTAGCCTGACAGGGAGTTGGGAAAAAGAATACAAATGGAGGAGATAGAGGTATAAAAAGAGAGTATATACAAGACGATGTTAGAGAGAGAGAGAGAAAGAAAGAGAGAGAGAGAGGAAGAGAGAGAGAGGGGGAAAGAGAGAGACAAAGAGAAATAGTGAGGCAGACGTAAAGAGAATTAGCGAGAGAAACAGGAATAGGAAATAATTACGTGATAAAATCAAAAGAAGCATGAAGGATGCACGGCTAGCGGGGGGTGCAGAAAGAGAAACGTGGAGGGAAAGTGAGAGTGGGATGGAAAGTGAGAGTGGGAGGGAGCAGAAAGAGAAAATGGGTGGGGGAAAGAGGGAGGGGAAAAGAAAAAGAAACTGAGAGAGAAAAGGCAAAGGGGGGAGAAAGTGAAACTGGCAGGGAAAGGCAGAGAAAGGGGTGACAAAAGAGAAACTGGTAGGGAAAAGAGAGAGGGAGGGAGCAGAAAGAGAGAATTAGAGAAAAGAATGAGGGGAAAGAAAGAAACTTGGGGAAAAAAGGCAGAGAGAGGGACAGAAAAAGAGAAACTGGAGGAAAAAGGCAGAGAGGGAAAGTGAGGAGAGGAGGAGCAAAAAGAGAGAATTAGAAGAAAAGAATGAGGGGGAAAGAAAGGGAAACTTGAGAGGGAAAGGGCAGAGAGAGGGGGACAAAAAGAGAAATTAGAAGAAAAAGTAGGGGAAAAGAGAGAGGGGAGGAGCAAAAAAGAGAATTAGGGAAAAGAATGAGGGGAAAGAAAGGAAAATGGGAGGGAAAAGAGAATGGGACACAAAAGAGAAAAGGAGAGAGGGACAAAAAAGTGGAGAGTGAGAGGAGGAGCAAAAGAGAGAATTAGAAGAAAAAAAGAATGAGGGGAAAGAAAATTGAAACTTGTAGGGAAAGGCAGAGAGAGGGACAAAAAAAGAGAAACTGGGTAGGAAAGTAGGGAGAGAGAGGAAGGAGCAAAAAGAGAGAATTAGAAGAAAAGAATGAGGGGAAAGAAAGTGAAACTTGTAGGGGGGAAAAGAAAGAGAGAGGGGGACAAAAAAAGAGAAACTGGTAAAACTTGAGGGAAAAAAGTAGAGAGGGGGGAAAGTGAGAGAGGAGGAGGAGCAAAAAGAGAGAATTAGAAGAAAAGAATGAGGGGAAAGAAAGTGAAACTTGGAGGGAAAAGAGAGAGGGGACAAAAAAGAGAAACTGGTAGGGGAAAGGAGAGAGGGAGGAGCAAAAAGAGAGAATTAGAAGAAAAGAATGAGGGGAAAGAAAGAAACTGGAGGAGGGACACAAAAAAGGGAGAGAGAGGGACAAAAAAGAGAAACTGGAGAGGGAAAGGAGAGGGGAAGGGAGCAAAAGAGAGAATTAGAAGAAAAGGGAGGGGAAAGAAAGTGAAACTGGGAGGGAAAGGCAGAGAGAGGGGACAAAAAAGAGAAACTGGTAGGGAAAGAGAGAGGGGAGGAGCAAAAAGAGAGAATTAGAAGAAAAGAATGGAAAGGGGAAAGAAAAGAAACAAAAGAGAAACTGGAGGGAAAGGAGAGAGAGAGGGGGACAAAAGAAAACTGGAAAGAAAGGAAAAACTTGAGGGAGAAGAGGGGACAAAAAAGAGGTAGGGAGTGAGAGAGGGAAAAAAGAGAGAATTAGAAGAAAAGAATGAGGGGAAAGAAAGTGAAACTTGGAGGGAAAGGCAGAGAGAGGGGGACAAAAAGAGAAACTGGTAGGGAAAGTGAGAGAGGGAGGGAGCAAAAAGAGAGAATTAGAAGAAAAAAAGAGAGAATTGAGGGAAAGGCAGAGAGAAGGGGGACAAAAGAGAAAGGGGTGAAAGAGGGAGGGAGCAAAGAAGAGAATTAGAAGAAAGGGGAAAGAAAGGAAACTTGGAGGAAAACAAAAAGAGAAACTGGTAGGGAAAGAGAGAGGGAGGGAGCAAAAAGAGAGAATTAGAAGAAAAAATGAGGGGAAAGAAAAGGAGAAACTGGGAGGGAAAGGCTGAGAAAAGAGAGGGACACAAAAAAGAAAAAATGGTGAAAGGAAAGAGAGAGGGAAGGAGCAAAAAAAAGAGAATTAGAAGAAAAGAATGAGGGGAAAGAAAGGGGACAAAAAAGAGAAACTTGAGAGAGGGAAAGGCAAAAGAGAGAGGGAACAGAAAAAAGAGAAACTGGAGGGAAAGGGAAAGGACACAAAAGAGAGAGGAGAGGAGCAAAAAAGAGAGAATTAGAAGAAAAGAATGAGGGGAAAGAAAGGAAACTTGGAGGGAAAGGCAGAGAGAGGGGGACAAAAGAGAAACCAGGGAAAAAGAGAGAGGGAGGGAGCAAAAGAGAGAATTAGAAGAAAAGAATGAGGGGAAAGAAAGTGAAACTTGGAGGGAAAGGCAGAGAGAGGGGACAAAAAAGAAACCGGTAGGAAAAAAGTGAGAGAGGGAAGGAGCAAAAAGAGAGAATTAGAAGAAAAGAATGAGGGGAAAGAAAGTGAAACTTGGAGGGAAAGGCAGAGAGAGGGGGACAAAAAGAGAAACTGGTAGGGAAAGTGAGAGAGGGAGGGAGCAAAAAGAGAGAATTAGAAGAAAAGAATGAGGGGAAAGAAAGTGAAACTTGGAGGGAAAGGCAGAGAGAGGGACACAAAAAGAGAAACTGGTAGGGAAAGTGAGAGAGGGAAGGAGCAAAAAGAGAGAATTAGAAGAAAAGAATGAGGGGAAAGAAAGTGAAACTGGGAGGGAAAGGCAGAGAGAGGGGGACAAAAAGAGAAACTGGAGGGGAGGGAAAGAGAGAGAGGAGGAGAGGGAAAAAGAGAGAATTAGAAGAAAAGAAATGAGGGAAAGAAAGGGCAAAAAGAGAATTAGGAAAAGAAAGGGCAAAGCAGAGAGGGGGGCAAAACAGAAAAACTGGTAGGAAAAGAGAGAAAGGAGGGAGCAGAAAGAGAGAATTAGAAGAAAGAAGAAAAGAATGAGGGAAAGAAATTGAAACTTTGGAGGGGCAAAAGGCAGAAGAGAGGGGACAAAAGAGAAACAAAAAGAGAGAATTAGGAAAAAATGAGGAAAGAAGTGAAAAGGGAAAAGTGAGAGAGGAGGGACCAAAAGAGAGAATTAGAAGAAAAGAATGAGGGGAAAGAAAGGGGAAACTGGGAGGAAAAGGCAGAGAGAGGGGGACAAAAAGAGAAACTGGTAGGGAAAGTGAGAGAGGGAGGAGCAAAAAAGAGAGAATTAGGGAAAGAAAAGAAATGGAGGGGGAAAGAAAGTGCTGAAAGGAGAGAAAGCAAAAAAAGAGAGAATTAGGAAGAAAAGAATGAGGGGAAAGAAAGTGAAAAGGAAAGAGAGAGAGGGACAAAAGAGAAACTGGTAGGGAAAGTGAGAGAGGAGGAGCAAAAAGAGAGAATTAGAAGCGCAGAAAGGGAAAAAAGAAATGAGGGGAAAGAAAAGAGAAACTGTAGGAAAGGGAAGGAGGGAGAGCAAAAAGAGAGGAGAAAAAAGGGGAAAGAAACTGGAAGGGGGAAAGGCAGAGAGAGGGACACAAAAGAGAAAGCAAAAGAGAGGTGGAGGAAAAAGAGAGAAAGAAGAAAAGAATGAGGGGAAAGAAAGTGAAACTTGTAGGGGGAAAGGGCAGAGAGAGGGACAAAAAAAAGAGAAACTGGTAGGGGGAAAGTGAAAGAGAGGGAGGGGCAAAAAGAGAATTGAAGAAAAGAGAAGAGGAGAAGGCAGGAGAGGGAAAGAAAGAGAAACTTGAGGAAAAAGGCAGAGAGAGGGGGAAAAAAAGAGAAAGAGGGAAAGGGAAAACTGGAGAGAGGGAGGGAGCAAAAAGAGAGAATTAGAGAGAAGAAAAGAATGAGGGGAAAGAAAGGAAATTGGAGGAAAGGCAGAGAGAGGGGGACAAAAAGAGAAAACTGGTAGGGAAAAGGAGAGAGAGGGAAGGAGCAAAAAAGAGAGAATTAGAAGAAAAGAAGAGGGAAAGAAAGTGAAACTTGGAGGAAAAAAGCAGAGAGGGGGACAAAAAGAGAAACTGGTAGGGAAAGGAGAGAGGGAGGGAGCAAAAAAAGAGAGAATTAGGGGAAAAAAGAATGAGGGGAAAGAAAGAGAGAAACTTGGAGGGGAAAAGGTAGAGAGAGGGGAACAAAAGAAAGAGAAAAAAACTGCAGGGAAAGGGAGAGAGGGAAGGGGGGAGCAAAAAAAGAGAGAATTAGAAGAAAAGAAGGGAGGGGAAAGAAAGTGAAACTGGGAGGGAAAGGCAGAGAGAGGGACACAAAAAGAGAAACTGGTAGGGAAAGTGAGAGAGGGAGGGAGCAAAAAGAGAGAATTAGAAGAAAAGAATGAGGGGAAAGAAAGTGAAACTTGTAGGGAAAGGCAGAGAGAGGGGGACAAAAAGAGAAACTGGTAGGGAAAGTGAGAGAGGGAGGAAAAAAGAGAGAATTAGAAGAAAAAGAATGAGGGAAAGAAAGTGAAACTTTGAGGGAAAGGCAGAGAGAGGGGGGACAAAAAGAGAAACTGGTAGGGAAAGGAGAGAGGAGGGAGCAAAAAAAAAGAAGAGAATTAGAAGAAAATAATGAGGGGGGAAAGAAAGAGAAACTTGAAAGAGGGAAAGGGAGCAGAGAGAAGGGGACAAAAAGAAACTGATAGGGAAAGTGAGAGAGGGAGGAGCAAAAAAAAGAGAGAATTAGTGGAAAAATGAGGGGAAAAATTGAAACTTGGAGGGAAAGGCAGAAAGAAGGGCAGAAAAAGAGAAATTGTGAAGGAAAGAGAGAGGTGAAGAAAGAGAAACTTGGAGGGAAAGAGTGAGGGGGGGAGAAGAAACAGAAACTGAGAGAGAAAAAGGGAAACAGTGGGAAGAAACTGAAACTGGGAGGGAAAGGAAGAGAGAGGGGGACAGAAAGAGAAACTGCGAGGGAAGGTGAGAGAGGGAGGGAGCAGAAAGAGAGTATTAGAGGGAAAGAATGAGGGGACAGAAAGAGAAATTGCGAGGGAAAGAGAGAGGGGGAAGAAAGAGAAACTGGGATGGAAAGAGTGAGGGGGAGAAGAAAAAGTATGTTGGAGAGAAAAAGGGAAATATGGGGACATAATGAAACTGGGAGGGAAAAGCAGAGAGAGGGGGACAGAAAGAGAAACCGCGAGTGAAAATGAGAGAGGGAGGGAGCAGAAAGAGAGACTGGGAGGGAGAAAATGAAGGGACAGAATAAAGAAATTGGGAGGGAAAGAGAGTGGGGGCAGAAATAGAAACTGAGGGGAAGAGAAACCAGGAGGGAAAGAGAGGGATTGACAATACTTGGCAGCAATAGAATCTGCGAGGGAAAATGAGAGACAGAGAATTTTAAAATGAAAAAAAAAGTGATAGTCTGGAATAGTGAGAGATATAGGTAGAAAATGTAAAGAAATTGTTGTAGAAGGCAAATACAGAAAACTTAGAGAGAGGGGGAAGGAGAGTGTCGCGGGCATGACAAGAAAAGGAAAAAAAAAAGATGGCGATAAAGACAATGCGAGAGTGATAAAGAGCGCAGCAGATGGAGAAATAGAGGGAAAAGTAAGAGAAGAAGAGAGAGAGAGTGACATTATTAAATAAGACATAAATAAAGAAAGAAAGAAAGAAAGAAAGAAGAAAGAAAGAAAGAAAGAATGAAAGAAAGAGGAGTACCTTTATAAAAAGATGACATTTAAACGAAAGAAAAGAAGTAGAAGGAAGGAGAAAACTGGAAGAAAGAAAGAAAGAAAGAAAGAAGCAAGCAAGCAAGAAACAGACAAACAAACAAAGAAAAAAGAAAGAAAGAACCGCACGATTAAAAAGAAGTAAAGAAAAAACAAAATAATGTAATAGAAAGAAAGGACGGCGAAAAAATAACAAAAGCAATCTAGAAAGAAAGAAAGAAAGAAAGAAAGAAAGGAAGGAAGAAAGAAGACAGAAAGAGGTGTACCTTTATAAAACGATGTCATCTAAGTGAAAGAAGAGACGAAAGAAGAAAGGAGGAAACTGAAAGAAAGATAGAAAGAAAGAAAAAAGAAAGAAAGCCATAAAGAAAGAAAGAGGTGTACATTTATAAAAAGAATGACATCTAAATGAGAGAAGGGACGAAAACTGGAAGAAAGAAAGAAAGAAAGAAAGAAAGAAACTAACAAGCAAGCAAGAAAGAAAGAAGCAAGCAAGAAAGAAACAAAGAAAAAAGAAAGAAAGAACTGCACGTTTAAAAAGAAGGAATGAAAAAACAAAATAATGTAATAGAAAGAAGGGACGATGAAAAAAAAACAAAAGCAATCTAGAAAGAAAGAAAGAAAGAAAGAAAGAAAGAAAGAAAGGAAGGAAGAAAGGAAGGAAGAAAGGAAGACAGAAAGAGGTGTACCTTTATAAAACGATGTCATCTAAGTGAAAGAAGAGACGAAAGAAGAAAGGAGGAAACTGAAAGAAAGATAGAAAGAAAGAAAAAAGAAAGAAAGTTTACAAAGAAAGAAAGAGGTGTACATTTATAAAAAAGAATGACATCTAAATGAGAGAAGGGACGAAAACTGGAAGAAAGAAAGAAAGAAAGAAAAGAAAGAAAGAAAGAAAGAAAGAAACTAACAAGCAAGCAAGAAAGAAAGAAGCAAGCAAGCAAGCAAGAAAGAAACAAAGAAAAAAGAAAGAAAGAACTGCACGATTAAAAAGAAGGAAAGAAAAAACAAAATAATGTAATAGAAAGAAGGGACGATGAAAAAAAAACAAAAGCAATCTAGAAAGAAAGAAAGAAAGAAAGGAAGGAAGGAAGAAAAGAAAGAAAGAAAGGAAGGAAGGAAGAGAAGGAAGGAAATAAAGAAAGAAAGAAAGGAAGGAAGAAAAAAGAAAGAAAGGAAGGAAGGAAGAAAGGAAGGAAGAAAGGAAGAAAAGAAAGAAAGAAAGAAAGGAAGGAAGGAAGAGAGAAAGAAAGGAAGGAAGAAAGGAAGAAATAAAGAAAGAAAAGAAAGAAAAGAAATAAAGAAAAAGCAAGCAAGCAAGAAAGAAAGAGGTGTACGATGAAAAAAAAAAAAAAAAAAACGATGACAAGAAAGAAAGAAAGAAAGAAAGGAAGGAAGGAAGGAGGAAACTGAAAGAAAGAAAGAAAGAAACAAAGAAACAAAGAAAGAAAGAACTGCATGATTAAAAAGGGAAAGAAGAGACGAAGAAGGAAGAAGGAAACTGGAAGAAAGAAAGAAAGAAAGAGAGAAAGAAAGAGAGGAAGAAAGGAAGAAAGAAAGAAACAGACAAACAAACAAAGCAAGAAAGAAAGAAAGCAGCAAGAAAGAAAGGAAGAAGCAAGCAAGCAAGAGAGAAAGAAAGAAACAAAGAAAAAAAGAAAGAAAGAACTGCACGATTATAAAGTGAAAGAAGAGACGAAGAAGGAAGGAGGAGACTGCAAAAAAGAAAGAAAGAAAGAATGAAATAAGAAAGAAAGAAAGAAAGAAGCAAAAAAGAATGAAAGACAAAAAGAAAGAAAGAAAAAAAACATCGTAGGTAGAAAAATAGCGTAGGTAAGTTAAATAAATGCCAACGACAACTCGAAGAATGTTTATTTTTTACTCAATTTATTTGCTTCTAGAATTTCTATCGTTATTTTCTCTTTTCATAATAACCCGACATAGAGGTTAAATCCCTGACGCCCTGCTGGGGAATGTAGAGCAGTACGCAGCAAATCATCTTGTTCACGACCCGCTCTGCCAGACCATTACAGGCGATAGGAACGTGGTTAGCAGTGAAGAATCAGAGCAGAGCTACCTGTCGTTCGACCGTTTGATCATCTCTGACTCCTTGGATCACCTGTGTTTACGGTGTAACCTAGAAAAGGTGACTGAATGAGGAATAATCAAAACGGAGGTTGGGAATGAAATGGTAATCTTTATAACATCAACAAAATACAATACTCGCCAGCGGCGTGAAATAGGTAAACCACTGCTAATGGTGGACTACTTAGCATATTGACATCCACTTACAATAGTGTCCAACGTATTTTTGAGGATTGGGACATACCCATTAGTTTTCATAGGTACGGTATACAACACTAGCGTAGATAGATAGATAGATAGATAGATAGATAGATAGATAGATAGATAGGCAAACCACTACTAGTGGTGGAATACTTAGCATATTGACATCAACTTACAATAGTGTCCAACGTATTTTTGAGGATTGGGACATATCCATTAGTTTTCATAGGTACGGTATACAACACTATCGTAGATAGATAGATAGATAATGAGCAAACCACTACCAGTGGTGAACATTTATACGACATCAACTTGCCAATAGCGTCCACTTATGATTGCATAAATAAGCTATAGGTATTTATACAAATACTCATCGTAGATAGATAGATAGATAGATATAGATAGATAGATAGATAGATAGGCAAACCACTAATAGGTGTGTAGGAATATCAGTATATTGACATCAACTTACAATAGCGTCCAACGTATTTTTGAGGATTGGGTTATATCCATTAGTTTTCATAGGTACGGTATACAACACTAGTATAGATAGATAGATAGATAGATAGATAGATAGATAGGCAAACCACTACTAGTGGTGGAATACTTAGCATATTGATATCAACTTAAAATAGTGTCCAACGTATTTTTGAGGATTGGGACATACCCATTAGTTTTCATAGGTACGGTATACAACACTAACATAGATAGATAGATATAGATAGATAGATAGATAGATAGATAGATAGATAGATAGACTGTGGTAAACTAGAAAGGGTTACTGAATGAGGAATAACCAAAACGGAGGCTGGAAATAAAATGTATCATAAACAAAATACAATACTCGCCAGCGGCGTGAAGTAGGTAAACCACTGCTAATGGTGGACTACTTAGACAGCATATTACACCCACTTATAATAGTGCCCAACGTATATATGACGATTGGGTCATACCCATTAGTGTTCATAGGTACGGTATATAACAGTTTATTTAGTAAGACCTGACTTCTCGCGAGCTAGATGTCATTCTGCCTCTTAAACTTTATTTTTACAGTAAGGATCATCCTGTACAAGGCCATGTGGGGCATTCAGGGGAAGGGTTACGTTAAGGCGTAGTTATTATGGATAGGAGGGGAAGATAAGGTTCACTCTAGACTTAAAGTTAAGATTGTAGTGATCCGGAAAACATCCTCGTGGTAATCTGTTCCACAGGGGAGTGATTCGTCCGATCAGCCTCTAGGCGAATATATACAAAGCAAGATCTGCAGTCCTTTGACAACAGATGTTTTTTCACAATCAAATGTCCTGGGAAAATTTGATTTCACCCAAAGATTCAAACTTATAATTTTCTTTGCTTCCAACTCGTCTCCACCAGAAACCAATCAATGAATGGGAAGTGTGTTTTATAACACACTTTCCATTCATTGACATAATTTTTTTACTATCATGATTCAAATTGTTTCTATCGTCTTCAAAATGTCCTGTAAGTAAATTCTCCAAGACTCCTTATTATATCTTACAGAATTCTCTGATTGTTTGAGTGCACATGTTTGAATTTTACTTGAAACTTCCTCGTTTTCCGCCTATGGTATTCTCAGCATCCTTCTGTAGAACCACGTCTCCGTTGTCTCGAGTCTCCTCTTCATCTGTGAATAAATTATTTAGAACTCGCTGTCATATTGAAGGGCTGACTAACACAACATAATCCAAAATTTCAGGACATGAGGGATCATGACTCTCCACAACATCCTATCTTTTATTGCTCAAAGTAATGTTAATATTCTTACTATTATTTCGAATATCTGTTCTGTCATCTATAAGTTAACCAAAAAAAAAAAAACCTTGAGTGTTTTCAGATCGTGTGCAAAGGAGTGATGATTGATGCGCAAATGAATGTGTCACGTGCCAGGAAACTGGTGCGTGTGGGGTAGTTGCATTGCTCTTGACCAATGCTCAAGTGCGTTGCGCACACACATCAGTCATAGTTCGAGTAGCGGCGAGGAAATATGGTGGTGTAGAAACAGCTCGTTCGGATCTTTTTTTTGCTTTATGCCTTTAAGGTGGGCTTGTCAACAGCCGTCTAAAGTCGACGAATACGTCAAGCCTTTGAGGATAATGGCGTGAGTGAACACACCGCCAGGTATTGGTCCGGGAGGTCTTTCCCTCTTCAATGAACCCTGCAGTGGCCGGCCACAGGTCCTGGATGATGGGGCGCTGAAGACGGTCATATAGAGGCGGACCACAGTCAAACCTGTGTTGATCTTGCCGAACGCTTCCAAGTGTCTGATGAAATAGTCAGACTTCACCTGCACTGCATAGGAAAGACGTACAAGTTGAGCAAGCGGTTACCCCACCCACTGTCCGGAGTCCAAAAAGCAACAACTCGAGCACAGCTTGTTTCTCGTTGCTTTCTCAGAATCTAAGCAATATTTGATCGTGCGACGAAAAGTGAATCCTGTATGACACCTGCAAGTGTTCCAGACATTAGTTGTCGCCACGGGACTCTGTGACTCACGCCACAAGACCTCCTCTACACCCACGTATGGTCATGTTCTGTATCTGCAGGAATAATGAAGTGGCGCACTATGAGTCACTACCAACAGGCCAAACCATCACTGCAGGCCTGTACTCACAGCAGTTGGAACGTTTGCAACAGGAGGAGCCATCGATTGTTTAATCGCAAGGGTGTACTGTCCCACCATGACAATGACAGACCTCATGTAGCGGGGTGGCCAGGGATACCATACGGCGACTCTTATGGGAGACACTGTGTCATCCATCTAACTCCCCCGAAACTTACGCTAGCAGATTACCACCTGTTTTATTTCCTGGACAACCACCTTCGTCGGAAATTCTTCACAAATGAGGCAGACTTTCGTCAAGCACACTCGAACTTCAAGACACCTGATTTGTACCGGCAGGAGGTACATTCGCAAAATGTTTTAGATGTCGATTACTTTGAGGAGTAACGGCATGTCAAATTTGACGTATACCATTATTTTTAATAAATCAAAAACGGCAAGGCCTTTTTTGGTTACTTTGTATTTGCACAATTGCTTTAGATGGGGTAACTACTGTCTCTCCCTTCCCCTTTTTCGTTCAAAATATCCTTTAAGTGTCAAATTTCCCAAGCACCCATTCATTTGTTATGTGTCGTAGGAGTTTCAACTGTCTCTTTCGGGTTCTCAGTACAACTGTCCTTTTTGCCCCCATTTAAAAAAAAAAAAGAAAGAAGCATACTCAGATCCCCAATCTATGTTATTCTCAGCATCCTTCTATAGAACCACCTCTCAAATGCCTCACGTCTATTCTTCATCTGTGAGGAAAATGTCCAGTATTCACTACCATATAGAAGATTGGAGTATACTTTTCAGTTCAACACTTTTTTCTTTGTACCCAAGGATAATTTCCTATATTTTAATACTTTGCTTAACTTCTGAAAGACATTTTTAGCGATACCTTTGTATCTTCTCATTTCAATTATTTCTTTTGTTTATTGTTAACAAAAATTTTATTTAGAGTTCGCATTTCACTAAAAATTTTACTCTTTCTCAATTCTCTGATCATTGTAGCCTCAGCATGCTTCTGTAGAATATTTCCTTTGCTTAAAATCTTCTCACTGTCTGTGAGGAAATTGTCCAGCATTCACTGCTATATTGGAAGACTGAGGTTATATAAAAATTCAGAACACTTTTCCTTGTTTCTAAGGAAATTTTCCTGTTTCTTAATACATTGCTGAGTTTTTGGAAGGCGTCTTTCGTTATTCCATTTCGTTCGGATTTCTGTGTGAGTATATTTAAATACATTTTTCATGCTTTTTTTTCGTTTCTTCTTTTTTTTTTTCATTTTTCATTACTTTCTACGTGTTTATTTCATTTCTTCGTTTATTTAATTTATTTTTATTTTTCATTATTTTTTTTTCATCAGTTTAATGAATAGAGTTAGTTTTTCAACCGGAATACGAGAGAAACAGAATGAAAGAGTCAGATGATTTTATTTGAAGTTGTAAAGAATGTCGAACGGTAAAATTCCTATTTGAACGAGGGGGGACAAAATTTACGATAAACGACCTCTGTCACCGATAAAGAAAGGCAAAGCTGATTCGACGACGAGAAAAATCATCACAATCTTTCGAAGACTTTCCTTATATATATATATATATATATATATATATATATATATATATATATATATATGTGTGTGTGTGTGTGTGAAGGTCGTGTTTGTATGTACGTGTATATGTGTTAAAATAAAATGTCCTATCTAACGTGCTGAGATAAGGGTGTTTTCCTGTGAATATTGCCTCGTTATGTGTAATTAGAAAGAATTTTGTTTTTAAGCAGAGAAGTGAAATCGGAAGGAGGAGAATGGTAAGTAAGCGCTTTTTCTTATCTCAGAATACGATTCCTCGGGGAAAACTGATTTCGAAACGTCGAGGCGTCAAACCTCTGAATAAATAACGCCAAGCGCCCCGACTGGCGCACCTCAGCGGGCGAAAGGGCCGCGAGCCATCAAGTCGATAGTTCGTCGTTTACTGACTGATTGGAAACACTTGTATCGATTATACATACGCACATGCGCACATACACACACATGCATACATACATACATACATACATACATACATACAACGCATACATACATACATACATACATACATATATATATATATATATATATATATATATATATATATATACACGAACATACACACACACACGCAAACATATATATATCATTGCCACTAAATATATACAACTCCTTCTCGAAATGTTCAAAACATATATATACATAGAAACATGCAGACATACACACACATCCGGACACACACACACACACACACACACACACACACACACACACACACACACACACACACACACACAGATATATATATATTTTGAATTTGTAGGTCTGATGATTTGGATCGTATTTACGATTCCTATGGAATAAATTATGACCATGGAATATTAGTGTTTAAGCCTTTTTATTATATCCTTACTCTGTCCTAGACATTGAGTTCTACCTGGATTCTTCCTCTTGGAAAATTTTTTTCTGAAAATATACATGTATGGGAATTTTTTATATATATTTTGCATATGTATGTATATTTTCCACTAATATTATCTATCTATATATATATATATAGTTTATGCAAAACTAGGTGATCCGCTTGGGTAGACCCAAGGAGGATGACATCCGGAGAGCTCAATGTAAAATTCAGAGCCGATATGTTTGAATAAAAACAGACCATTTTAAGGTTCCATGTAATAAACTATTTCACCATAACCCTTTTCT